TATACTTCTCAAAAGATGGGCTGCTTGGTTTAAAAATTTTACTTACTTTCTTTTTAATTGCCATTTTACCTTTCTCTTTCAGTTTCTTCTTAGACACTGCTCTCATTTCCTGACTGCTAATAAATATGTAGGGATCACCTTCAGCATTTTGTGCCTCACTGACTTTTTTGCTGAGTTTTGTTTTATTTTCTTTGCCATCTCTGGAAGTAAATACTCTTCTTGCATTAGAAGTGTGCTGTACAGTATCATATGTACATAATCCATCTGAAGAGCTCTGAAGTGTTCCAATATCTGCTTTTGGTGGGGCTACATAGAACCGTTGTTGAGAAACAGACACTAGATCTGTCTCATCATCCATACCTTTGTGAATATCAGCAGGTGCTGTAACAGTTTCTGATTTCTGCTGTTGTAATTCAGGAGACTGTACTGGCTTCTCACCAAACTCATCATCGTTCCTCTGCAACCACTCCTGAACCTTCTCCATGGGTGCAACCTTCACTTTGTCAACTTTACTCTTCACTGCAAGCATTGTTTTACTTCCTGATGTGAAACTTGGAAAAAATGGTTCTTCCTGACTGATAGAAAGAAGGTCTACATCACTGTCACGTTTTCCTGGGTAAGACTTTTTATACCTTTTCAACCAGCGTTCTTTAGAAGTAGTTACTTTTGGATGGGAACGCTTCTGAGGTGAAGCCTCATGTTGTATACTAGCAGTTTCCTGCTTGTTATGCTGAAACTTTGGAGAAGCAAGGACTGCTTCCTGAGTTGAATATGGTAACTTCTTATGTGATGTAACTAAAATAAGAAAGGTCATTTAACTTCCCCAACATGTTTTAAAAATAATACAAGGCCAGTAGAAGAGACATGAATACTCCAGTGGATAAAACACAACAATGAAAATAAAAGCCAATACTTGAATGAAACAGGACACAGTTACTAACTGTAGTAATAGTAGTAGCAGATGTGGTAGCTTTCATCTCTGATACAGCATGGTCTATATAGATGGAATACAGAGACATCGGTAAAACTATGTCTGACATACAAAATAGCTACAAGTTCAAAAGTTATGGCTAATTGCATCTCATGTAATTCTTTCAGTACTCAAAGTTGTTACAAAACAGAGGTTATACATTATCTTCATACAAAGGTTCATAAAATTTCATCAAGTGGTTCAAAACTTTTTACGGAGATGAACACATGGACATAATTTCATATGCCTGTTTTTCCTTACAAAACAAGGAAATAGGATAAAAACAAGTTCATACTTACTATCAAATCCTGTGTCCTTTCCAATGCTGTCAATCAAGTTTTGCACATTTTCCACCAGCTTTCCAATCTTCTCATCATGTGTAATGCTTCTTCTGTTAATTGACTTGTTGCACAAAGGACAATGGGCAGTCTGATTCTTCTTCATAACTCTCATTATGCATTCCCAGCAAAAAGAATGGGAGCATCGTGTATATACTGGATTTTTCAGCAGTTCTAGACTGATAATGGTATCAAATGTATCAATATTCATTCAGCCATCAAAATTATAGCTCTTGTGTTAAGGGACTCATATTTTCATACTGTAGTTTTGGATTATGTGTGTGCTTGCACATGTGAAGATACTACTATAGTCTTACAAAAATCAGAACTGATAAATGGCATTTTTGTTTGATTGCTGAAACAAGTTAATATTTTTGCACTTCTCCCTATATTAATGGTTTAATAACAATAAATCTGTACCAAACACTGGAACCAAATTCTAGCCCAGGCTGAAGATGTTATGAGATACTAGCATAGAAATTGTATGTAGTGGCCAGGTTTGTAGTAGTTGCTGCATAATAGCACTCTTATATGTACAACTGGACAAGGAGACCTAGTAACCATTCATCTATTCTGATTTGACAGGGTGGGACATTTTATAATTGGTTCATGTAGGATCACAGAATAAATGTTCAAATATCAGTGAAAGGGGCAATGCTTGAGAACACCTGTAGCAAAGATGGGAAGGTGTGTATTCCATGTCATAAGTAGACCTAATACTGGGAACTGTCATGACAGTGGTCAAACATGAATTGACATTGTCATCAAGAATATTGCAAAAGTGCAGTAGCAATTTATGATCTTTACGACACACAAAATAAAGGATCATATTAAAATATAATTGTGTCAAAAGAAAAACAGCACAATTGGAATTGAAAAATTTTGTTTTGCTGCCATCCAAATGCAACATTCCCTAACCTGATCAGAATAAAGGGAAACAAGATATAACATTTTGCCAAATAAATTATGTTAATATCGTACACATGAATGTCATGTGCGCACTTTCACGTTGAATTAACAACTTCTGCGACTCTTGAATATTGCAGTCAAACAAGCTTTTCGTGTTACAAACCATATAGCACACTGAAGACTCTTCTGAAGTATCTCTACTCCATCTGAGAGGTTGTCGATCACTATTTCGATATCTTCCATATCTAAACTTAATTTCTTAGCAAACAAAATTCTTACAAATTTCCCACCAAACCCACAGAATAAACTATTATTTGGCGCGATTAATGTGGTTAGAAAACAAACGAATGTTTCAAGCCGCTACTTCCGTAATCCGCAATGCACAGGTTATAGTTTCTGTGAGTATATCTGAGCATTCAGTAATATCTTTGAGATGTATCAAATACTGTATAGATGGCATGCCTGTGTATATTTGCAGGACTAAAATTCGTTCAAATTATATCAGAATGTACCCCGGAATTAGTAGTATTATTATACACACGTTTCAGGACAGTGAAAGCATTTGTTGCCAAACGCCGTCTTCAAAAGTATTACTCTTTTAATAAATTTGCATACCAATTCAGACTCACAAATAAATTGCTGTATCAAGTATGTTTCGAAAGCAAATTTCCCTGTTAACAATTTCATTTTCAACACAGCTTCATAAAGTGGTTCACATTACCAAGTGATACAGTGTTCAGATCATCAGTTATGGATAGCGTTTGGAACACTAGTTAAATTTATCTAACAGGTAAACTGTGTTTATTAAATTTAAAATATTATTTTTTATCTGAGGCATCTCAGCTGAGTGAGTAAGTTATAGAATGTCCAAAAAAAATTCTGAGTCCACTTGGGCACTCCACAAAATGTTCAAAACAGTGCCCTTAATTGACAGTGCTAAAAGATGTATTTTTATGAATTCTTTCATCATGGGGGAAAATACTTTCAGACTCTGTGTGCAAATAACTATGCTGTGAAGGATACATAATTAAATTTACTATTGGTGTTTGCTGTCATTATCAAAGAAAAATTTCCTCACCAGTAAACTCCATTAAGGACACTTTTTCAAGAAGCTGGTAGTCATATTCCTTACCTTTTACATAACCTGCCATTGGACCCTGCCCCTCTAGTTTCAGATTAATGTTATCTTTCCATCTATATTGGGTCTCCTAAGTGACATTTTCCTTGTTTTTTTTAATTAAAATTGTGTGCGTCTTACCTCTTCCATTGATGCTACACATGCTGTCCATCACATTTTCCCGAATTTTATCGCCATAATTATATTTGTTGAAGAATACCAACTATGAAGTTCTTCATTATGGAATCTTATACCATCCTGTTACTTCCTCTCTGTTGGGTCCAGATATTAATTTCAGCATTTACTCTGAAACACCTATAATTTATGTAGGTTTGTCTCTTTGGGTCACAAACAAATATTCTTCCATTAGAGCTCTTACAATTTGTGACAATTCCTAACTCATATGAAGGCTGGTATGAATCTCAGCCAAGGCATTCATACATCTGTAACAACTATTCAATACTTCCTCATACATGAGAAAAAATTTAGAATTCTGGAAGGCACAAAGCTATTACCCACCCCAGATTACAACATAAAGAGTCCAATTCACACTGCAAATACAGTTTGTCTTCTTCCTTTACCACAACTGAACTTTAAGGCTTGTTTTCTTTAACACTAACCAAACTTTTACAAAGCGTCTGATCATAAAACACATCCAGAAGAACATCATCATTACATATCCATAATCGTATGTTATATGTAGTACAGATTATTAGTAGTTAAAGTAACATAGCAAAAACCTCTTAAATTGTGATAAATGCACGAATAATGGAATGAGATTGCAAGGGGAGACTTCATATTTAATGTATAATACAGTAATTACATACACAGTTGCCAGTGTAGAGTTACATAAACTTTACATCAGAGAGATTCATACTTTTGTTGGAACATGTTATATCAACTGTGTCCAGCAAACAACATATTACCTTGTCTTCAAAAACATCAACGTATTAATACTCTTAGGTTTTGGCACATATAAAAATATACAAAAACACTTTGATGCATATGAGACCTGATTATTTCTACATAATACTCTTTAGTCTTATGTTCTCTCTTTACCAGAAGACATAAAAGTGTGTTTATTCATGTTTTGTAAAACGTGAAGTGTGCAGATCGTAGATGACAACAGTTCTAAAGCAGTGCATATATTTTTCTCTGGGGCTAATGGAAAGCATTTAATAATCCTGTGCTGGATTCAAACTAGCAATTTATGGAACTAAATATATATATTAGCATTTAGAATGAGTTGGATGAAGTTATAAAATTGTGTAAATATATATTAAAGGTAGTCCCTTCTTAAAATGGCCCTGTGTTCTTGTCCTAATCTGAATGTGAGATAATATGGAATATAATATGTGGAATATATCAGGGCCCTAAAGCATTTCTTGTTTTGTGAGCAATGTTTAATATTCATAGATCCCACGTTAAAATATTAGAGTGGATTGATCAGACTGGCCAATATTTAAACATGAAATATTGTAAAGTAGGATTTGAGGTTTTCACAGCAGTGAGTATGAAGATGGCCGTCTTCTGGGTTGTAGCACCATTTAGTCTACAGTGTACAACCCAGAAGACACTCATCTATGAAATATTCCCATAGTGAACTATATACTTCACCATAAAATCAACAAAGCCATCAGATTTACTCCAGTACTATCCAAGGGATAAATACAATTCCAGTTTGTCCCTATATCCGCATGATAATAATCGCTGTGTCAATGGGTGACTGTATGGGGGAGTGGAGGTAAAGCTCCATGCAGTATTGCACCTCTGCAGAAAGATCATATTAATGCTCGATCAGCTTTAACTTGTGGAAGAGACCACTGTGTAAGAGGTTTGGTGGGCCTCATTGCCGGCAGAGATCTCGGCCCCTCAGGGAACAAAACCTCAATTATCTGGCCTATTTCAATCAAATTTCACCCTGAAATTATATTTATGTATGTACGTGTGTGTGCGTATAAACAATGAACTGCCCATCTCATCATTTCTCCCAAAAAGTGTTTCACAGAAGAAAATGGCGAGAACAAAAAAATACTCCTCAATTTTTCAGTTTCAAGGATAGGGTACAGGGGTGTCCAAAGAAACTTAGTGATGCATTCCTCCCAAATGGCATGCTGAAAAAAATGTTGCATTCAGAAATGTTCTTCTTGGAGTAAAAACTCTGCGAAAATTACTGGCTTCTTGTATTCAATTTATTGTTTTTTGGAAACTAGTAACATGGGTGTCCAAAAACATACGTAACGTCGCGTTTTCCCTGAAAGGCAAATCAGGAGGAGGGAAAACGTAGATACAAAAAACAGTTTTCTTGTTAGACAGCTCCAGAAAAATTATAGAATAGCATCGTATGAACAATGTATACAGGTAAACAAATATTTCTCTTCCACATACTGCCCCGGAAAAATAACAGGTTTTTCTTCATTTTTAATTTTCTAAATACAAAAGATTTTCTTTTTGAAGAGACAACGCTGGGAAATTATTGATTTTTATTGTTTAGAAAATTACACACTGGGATATCCAAAATACGTATAAACCCGGGAAAGTTGCTGATTTTTCCAGTTTAGAAAATTAGATGGAGGAGTGTTCAAACATGGTGTTTCGTATGAAACAAAAAATAAAGTTTGTCACGTTATGACGAATTCCATTACAGACAACTGAAGAATGCGTAACAATGTATTGTGGAAAAAAACATAAATTATTACGGCGGCAACCGGTCATAAAACTACTTCTCAGAGATATAATGTTGAACGGAAAATGCACTAACAGTGATTCAGCGCAATTTGTACCCGATATTGCGAAGTAAATACACGCATAAAAGACTTTTAGCAGTACTGGTAATACAGGAAATTTTCGCAACGTAATAAACCAGTTACATTACGTCCAGGAAATGTGGGAGTTAACCTTGAAAACAAACTTATACAACAGCACAATTTTGCCGTACAACAACTGCAAAATAAATTACAATCTACATTTCAACTGCTGCATGGGCAGGGATATTCTTCCCATGTCATCCAACACTTGTTTTGTACTTGATATGCACGTATCACCACCACTAAGGTATGACAAACCATCCAGCACGATATCACTGTCTTTCGTTGGGGCACTTGAGTGGACTCAAAGAGTTAAAGGTAAGAAGTTAATGCCAGCAGTCCAAACAGTGTGGCTTATCAATTTATGCTGAAATGGCATGAAATTTTGATATAATTACAATACTATTTCATTGGCAGCTTTTCAACCTTTATATCGCTGACATTTCATTTTGCTGTTCTTTTGTGTGTCCGTGCAGTTCCTCAGGGAATCTTGCTTTCAGCTAACAACTGTGAAAAGTCCTAATGCTTGTCTGGCGTAAGATATGGGTTTATTATAGTTGTGTAGTGCCACGATTTCATAAACAATCAGTCTTTTATCAGATTTCAGCTCATGTGCTATAAACAGGCAGCATATTAGAGATGGATCTTGCAAGAAATGGTTTGATTTTAAAGAGCTCGGGGATTATTAATTGGTGGTAACAGTAATCGGAACGAATCGATCTGTGCACAGATTATGAGGCCCATATCTCTATCTATCCGTATAGGTGAATCTTTGATAACAACATTGTAATGCTTAGCGTCACTTCGGGCTTTAATATTCCATGGAAATTAGATTTGCATGGGAGCAGATTACTTGCATTGTAAATTGCCCTCATACTTTGATTGTAGGGAAGATTTGCCCAAATATGACTTAATTTGGATTAAACATTCAATTGTGGTAGTATTTACCAAAAGACATCAATTTTTATTTTGAAACTTCATTTAGAGGTTCATATATCTTTTTTAGATCCATCAATTAATTTTGTATGTGTAAGAATAATATGATGTTTGGATGCTTGTAATATGTAATATCATCTGAAGCTTGATGTTTGTCATATGTAGTAATACCTCCATATTAAAAGCAAACTTACAACAATTTTAATCCAGCATTACTTGAACAGTGAAGGCATACAAGTATCTTTAACTGTTTGTTTGATATACAAACATTTTCAAAATAATTTTAAAAAATCAAAATCCTCAATATATTAAACATGGTTAATTGATTTGCATTTCTGCTACAAATTATGGCCCAAATTCAGAGTTTTGGTGTTTTCCTCAGGCCCTCCAAGAACATTCCATGATAGTACTTTTAAAATAACACTTCCAAATCATCATACCATTTGATGCTTCATAACACAGGCAGTTAATAAAATGTTCTTAAATTCAGTACTGTTACAGACCTATGACAGAATCAACTTTTTTTAAAATCCAAAGTAAAAGTACTAACATCTAAGTTTAAATTTATCTTATGAAGTTAGTGATTCACTTGTCTACAATTATTTCAATGAATTTATACACATTTTTAATGATTGCAACAACTGCAGTATTTTCAAGAGAAGTGAAAACCATGGTATGTATTTAGATGGGACTTCCCTCCCTTTCCTCCACACCCATAAATCCTTTCGAAATTTGTCTGGCATGATAGCAAATTAGAAATTTAAAGTACAGATTTCTTACAAGAGTAATTCAATTTACAGACCTATAATATTTAGCATATTGATGTTCTTACAGGTAATATCTCTTCATATTAAATAATGCAGCAGGGGAAAAATTTTAGTATAATATGACTGTGCAAATGACAAACAAGGGATTGTATTTATGATTGTAAGTCGGCAACAAGCCAATTGCTACATGGTGCCAGCACCCATAAGTAGGTTCAACATCTGTACCTAGGTTACTGAACTGTGAATCAAATCTTAAATTTGAGTAAAAAGGACGTATGAACTATATTACTTCCTGATCATATTCGTTTTAAAATTGAACAGACTTTTAAAGATTAAGACACAAAAGAATAGACAACCAATAGAAAGGTGAACTACTGGTCTTTTTGGATATAAACAACTGAAACTCTCCCTTTGCATACTTCACACCATGTGCACGAAATGAACACACAGGGTTACTTGGGAGTGTGTGTGTGTGCACATGTGCATGCGCATGTTTCATTCCAAGTACACACGCAAAAACTTTGTATTCTGGTACAAATTATGCCTTTCCAGTCTTGCTGTTTGAAGGCAGTGTGAATGTCAGAACAGTCATCAGAAAATGCAGTGTGCTACCAATTTCCAAATAAAAGTGTCTGTTGATCAGTAATCTGCATCTTGTTACTATATAACCCCCTTAACTGAAGCAGTTTCATTAAATATGTTAAGAATTAATTCACTCCATCTTATTTTCTTTCCACAAGTCCATTTTTAGAGAGAACATCCAATTACTTTGCTTTCATAAATTAACACGACAACATGAACACTTTCACAAGCATGCACTATCTTATAAAACTGAGAGCATTTGAAACTTCACCCGAGGGGGGAGGACACATTACAACAGTCTTTGTATGTTTATATTGGTATCTGGCTAGTTTAGCAAATGGAAGAGACTATCTGGAATCAACACTTTTTATGATAACTAAACAACCACTACATTCTGTGAAGTCAGGCAGAAATGTTATTTCAAGGGTGGAACACATTCATTGCCATCTTCCTGTGGGAGGGAAATGTACCCATTTACCATGCCATTAGGAGGTCTAGGTTTGCTTTTATTACCATCATCACCTTTGGGACTGTCTTTACTTGATGGAATGGCTCTATTTCCAGATGAAACCGTAGCCACCGGGCACTTAGAACCTTGAGCTTGTAATCTTGTATCACCCTCCACACTATTGTTTTCTGAAGGTGCACAGTCCTGTGTTCTGACTGCAGACACAGACGAATGTAAATCACATTCTTCAGAATGTGTTTTTGGGAGGATATTTTCATCAGGTACATAGCCATCCCCAAGTCCAGCAAATAATATTTTACTACAAGAATCACTTGTTACTTGAGATGGAATTGTAGGATCAATATTCTCTGGCTGACTGTACTCATTGTCTAGAAGCCCATACCCAGTCTGAGGAATCAACTGTGAAGCCTTCCTAATCACAGAAGATCCTGTCTGAGAGGTTCTTTTCAGTGGAGCAGTTTCAAAACTGTTGTGCTGCAGGGTGAAGTCTGAACCTGGGCCATAAAGAACATGTTCAGTTTCTGGAAAGCCAGGTAAATGTTCTGGTAACACGTAGCTATCACTTATTTCATGCCGATTAGGAGGAACTGTTACTGAAGATGGATGTTTCATGCCAAGCTGGAGGTTACTGGGATCTCTGACTGACTGACCTTGATGGTTACCAGGAAACACATAACTTTCATCAGCAGCTCTCTGGTGTTGTACTACATTTTCTTCCGAAGGAATAGTTTCTTCTTCTAGCAGCTGGTAGAAGGAAACTGGAGGGGAACTTACGAATGTCTGGTCAAATTGTAACTCACATGACAAGTCAAGATCCTGCTGCTGTGCCATGTTCGTTTTTATGACCTGTCCTTCTGTGCTATGGTAGAAAGAGACATGCTGGAATTTTTGACCAAGGTCACTCACTGTCTCCAGATCTGAAACTATTTGCAAGAATTTTGGACGATGGGTAGGTCTCCTCTGCCAACATGCTACCATGAATTGGTGAAGTACATCTGGACAGCAGAGTGGACGGTCTAGAATACCTCCACCAAGAACAAACTGAAGTACCTGCTCATTAGCTAAGCCTTGATATGGCTGCTCTGCCAATGTAGCCATCTCCCAGAGAACAACACCAAAACTCCACACATCGGACTGGCTAGTAAATACTCCATCTGCTAAACTCTCAGGAGACATCCATCGTATTGGTAGTAGTCCTTTGCTTCCATTTCGATAGTAATCAGTCTCATAAATATCCCTTGTCATACCGAAGTCCCCTATCTTTATGGTTAGATCTTCGGCAACCATACAGTTCCTTGCTGCTAAATCCCGATGAACAAATTTGTGCGCTTCGAGGTAAGCCATACCATCGGCTATCTGAGCAGCCATAAGCAACATGCGGCAAAGATCTGGAGGTGGTGGTGGTGGTTGTCTGGATGCTCTAAGATATGTTTTGAGGTCCCCTTGAGCCATCAGCTCCATGACAACAAGGGCAGGTTGTTCTCTTGAGACAACACCCAGAAGATTCACAACATGATGTGCACCTGCAAATGATTTCATCATAGTAGCCTCATTAAGGAATTCCATCTTTTCTCTGACAGATGCATTTTCACTGATCATTTTAACTGCGCAACGGATATCCCCAGGGCTAAGAAGTCCTTCATACACCATACCAAATGAGCCCTGTCCCAACTCTCTCACAAGTTTGAGTTCTTCACGTGCAACTTCCCAGTCATCTTCCACATAAATCACATCACCTGCACTAATATAGTCAGGGTTAACTGATGCAATGATCATCAAACTCCTTTCTTTTGCTCTCTTTTTCCACCACAACATAGCCAAAACTATAAAACATATCAGTACAAGCAAACAACCAACAAAAACCCCAATCATTGACCCCCATGAAGACACAGCAGGAAGTTCCTCCACAGTAAAGTGAAACAGTTTTGTGAATGGTCCTTCTCCAGCCAGAGACATGGCTCTGACACGGAAGCTATAGTTTCCAGGAGGCAAGTTATTCAAAACATAACCTCTTCCATATTTCAAGTATTCCTGCCTTGTTAAACACTTAACAATTGGGTTCAAAGTTCCACTGTCTGTACGATGATGCTCTGTGCGATATGCTACTATGATTCCATTAGGTGCTTTTGGTTCTTTCCAAGTCAGTCTCACAGTCCCAGATGTTCCATTGGAAACTTGTGCGGCCAAGTGATCCGAATCTATTGTGTCAGCAATGGCAAGATGCTTTGTTCGGACAGTCACAAGCCCAGCTGGACTACACCATTCATATTCTGCGAGTGTGATGTCATTTGTATTGTACTTCTGCAGATCTGCATAATGCGGCTCGTGACAAGCAGCGACTTTGATTGTGTATTGTGCGAAATGGTGCATGTGATTTAAGACTATCTGTGTTGTATTAGCATTTATTCGTTTGAGAAATTTTTCATAAACGCCATAGCTGTTTATTAGTGTATGATTATTGAATGTTGCTAATACCTTCTGTTGAGATGACCCTGAAGAATTAAAATTTGGAAACCTGGAGGCCAAGGTCAGTTTATCTTGCTCATCTTTCAACTCAGGTATTCCACTGTGAATAAATGAATAGAAATAGTTTATACAAGGATCAATCTCAACACCATACACATCAAAGATTTTGTTTTTCTTTGTTGCCTTGGGTACACACAACATATTATAATCATCTTCATCTTCGATCAAGACAATCGGTTCAGACTTTCCTTTTTCACAGCAATTTTGTGAGCTGACCGTATCGCTGGTACTTGAAGGTACGATAAGTACATCGTGATCTGACGTGTGGTCAAGGGGATGATGACAGTAATTCCGTTGTTCTAGGAAGAGCCAGTCGTCGCGCTCCCATATGCCTGACACGAGGTAGTGGGTTAGGATACCATTTGGATGTTCAGGAGGTTGCCAATGTAAAATTATGTTGGAGGTAGAATTGGAAAAGGCGTGAATTTCTTTTGGAACAGAAGGCCTGTCTGGAAATGTCCTGAAATATTTTATTGTACTCTGTCCTCCTACATTGCTCTTTGTGTATGTCTTCACATAGAAAGCGTACTGTGTAAATGGTTCAAGATGCGGGAGAAACTGCACCAAGTTACCATACTGAGATGTGTCCACAGTATTCTTTTCATCTGTGTCGTATGGGACATCCACGACATGCCATCCACAGTCTCCACAAGCATCCAAGCCATCATGTTCTGTTAAATTCTGTTCTGGAGCTTCTATATAATATACCATATAACCCAGGACAGAGCGTGGATCAGGAAGTACACATCGTTCCCATTCAATCAAAACACTTGTAGACGATGTCACAGTTGAGTTCACATTAAGATTAACTACGTTACAAGCCACTTTATCACCATTTGACTCTCGAGCAACATCAAAATTTGTATAGTTTGGAGCTCCAGATATATTTTGTAATTTATCTATCTCGGACATGCAGAGTTTTGGGTTGTAATGAAACCTCAAGTGTCCTTTCACAATCTTTAGTTGTAAACCTTGAGGTCTTGAGGACCAGTCCCACAACTCCTGCAGGTTTTGGTTCTCAAGGACTACCAAGGAGTACCAGTTGTCTTCAAGTTTGTTACCGTGAATAATACGGAGATTCTTGAGGAAATTCAATGATGTGAGTGGGAATGAGCGTGACACTTTGAGATACCCCTGGATTTCTTCAATAGCAGCAAGGTTCTCTTCCAGTTCTCTAACAATATGATTTCCATAACCACGGATAAAGATCTCTAGAGAGCCCAGAATCGTGGTACAGCCACGAAGCTTCTGAGCATCTTCTATGCTGCTTACAAATCCTCCGACACATTCGTGGCTGCATCGCCCTTGGCAAGGCTGGCATCCTACTGTAATCGTGCCATTACTCTGTTCCTCATATCCTGGAGGGCACTTATCAACACATGACCCATTAAAAGGCCAGCAGCGCCTTCCATATTCCGGTGTCCAGGCATCCATATACGAATGATTCAACAGTCGGCACTCATCTTCTGTCACACAACGCCGACCCAGATATGAAACCCTGAAACAGAACAGTACATATCTAAATTCAACAATTAGGATTTTACTGCCGTAAATTTAAAAATGTATTCTATAATGTCTACGAAGGTAAATCAAACATTAAGGGAATTTTTTTTTAAAAGTTCTGACATGATTATAGAGTATTTGGGTTCCTCTTTTTTGTCTGCATAACAATCCTGATTATGATTGCATCTGATCCAACAACCCACAGGTTTCTTGATTCCACGAGAATTTGTTTATTCAGTTTGGATTTAAACCATTCTTGCACTGCATCTTTCACATGCACATGCTCATTTTAAATGCATTTTCATCAGTGCTGATTCATCATTTGTTCTGGATGTGCTGATCAATCTGCTCTTTAACCTTAACATGTTACAGTCAATGCCTATCTAAAAGGTGCATCATCATCATCATCGATATTTCTCTGCCTCCTTCTGAGTCTTTCCACCTATTTGTAATGTATGCATATTTGAGAATGACAAATCAAAATTGCATCCACAAATACAGCAAGAGCTGACTAAACGTGGTGGATGCTTGATGCCATGCACTTCAGAATATTTTGTCTGCTGTCAAAATATACAAAAATTATACTTTACCTGAAGATTCCTGTCTTCTGGGTTGTTGCGCTGTGTAGTCTGGTCGATGTTGGCAATGAATCGCCCTTATGACGGAGGCAGTATGACCTCTGAAATGCTGGCTAACATCAACCAGACTACACAGCGCAACAACCCAGAAGACAGAAATCTTCAGACTCACCGCTGTGAAAACCTCAAATCTTATACTTTACCTGTTGTTTTGTATGGGTATGAAACTTGGTTCCTCACATTACAGGAAGAACACAGATTTAGGGTCTAGAATATTTTGGCCCAAAGAGGGATGAAGTGACCGTAGTGTGGAGAAAACTACGTAATGAGGTCCTCCATAATTTGTACTTTTCACCAGATATTGTTAGGATGATAAAATCAAGGAAGGTGAGACAGGTGGGTCATGTATCATGTATACGGAAGTTGAGAAATGCATACACAATTTTGGCTGGAAATCCCAAAGGAAGGAGGTAACTTGGAAGACGTAGGTATAGATGAGAGGATATTAGAATTGATATTATGGAACTAGAGTTAAGGTGTAGGTTGGATTAATCTTGCTCAAGATAGGGGCCAGTGGAAGGCTCTTGTGAAGATGGTAATGAACCTTTGGGTTCCATCAAAGATGGGAAATTTTTTGACTAGCTTAGCATATTAATAGATTCTCAAGAAGAGCTCTGCTCCATGGAATTAGTTATTAGAGCTCCTGGGAATACGCATATTAGGTCAATTTTTGTAAAAATTAAAAGCGACAGTGTCTATGAGCAGTAAAATGAGTGTTTATATGAAAATAAAACATCAAGTAGTGGAGTGTGCAGTGCTAATGCAATGTCATATTTACAGAAATGTATATAATTAACTCCATGTTGTACAGCCCTTCTTGAGAAACTTACAGTCGTTCAGCTGGTCAAGATAAATTTCCTGCCTTTATGGAAGCTTAAGGTTCATTACCATTTTGATAAAAGCCTGCCAAGAAAGCCTATGTAACATTTTATAACATGCATGATGCTGTTGACCTCCGTACAGAAGAATCATCACTTGTTGACTTCCCACCATTGCTTATTCAGCGTATTAGCACTACCCTCAACATCTGGAGGCCATCTCTGGTCATTTATTGATCTCTATTAATAATGCCTGCTATCTTGACAGGCTTTCCATAGTTTTTCTCAGTCCCTCCTTAAGGACAACACTGGGACACTGATTTAAATATGCCATTAACGCTTATTTTAACAAACTGTGTGGAACAAAATCAACAAATCCCTACTTTTTGTGTAATGAATGTCCATCACTGCCTTCACAAAGGTGACCAATGGAAATTACCTGATCTAGATGAATCCAGTCCATATCTTAATTCATCATTCATAGTAATCTGACCATTGGATGCTACTGCCTATAAACCTACACGATTGTGAAAGCGTCGTTAAATACATCATCAGGATTAGCGTGCCTGTGTAGGGTAATCCCACGTCTGTATCGTACTGTCCACACGTGCCCTTTATGGCTGACATTGCAAGTCCAGTTACCATTAATTCTAGCTCCAGAAGAGTTTTTATTCATGACACGTATGACGAAACCAGTTTTTCAAAAAAATTCAGAATAAATATGCCTTGCCATTATAAGATATCAGTCGTTATGGCTCATGGTCATGTGACTAAAAGCATTAAACTTTACAATCTACATAATTATCACCGAAGTACTTTTCAAAAAAAGAAAATTCATGTTGTTTTGTTCAACGCTGGAAAGTCGTCACAGTGCTTTCGGTATAAATTAGTGACTTACAGAGAAACGTTTCACTGGAAAAGCTAAATTCCGTCAGCTGCAGTGTATCTAATGGATCACTGCCTTCAATAATTGCAACTTCAAACTAAATTCTAGAACACAGCGATATCGTTAAGATACGCATCCCATTGTCTACGTTCGCCATATTTTACATATTAATTGTACCTTTCTGTGAGAACAAGACCAGAATCCATATTTTCACTGCTGTGTAAATATGAAATCCCATACTTTATTTAATTTGTTCATTGTTCCTTCTTTCCTTACAAGCGGGCGGAAACTGTGGGTATCCAGTCGACTGGATTAAAGAACAGTGTATACTTAAAACCTTGACAGCATATGGACTAAATTAATAATGGAACTCAAAGTTTTGACAGTGGCCAGCATCGTTACCAAGCTATTCACAGTGCATTTTGTAAAAAATAAATGATTAAAAATAAAAATTGTAGGTTGTAATTACCTTTGTACTTTATACCATGTACACATTCTTGGGACGCTAAGCCATTTGGAGGGGGAGCGGGGTATACAATTCTGTTTAAACTTTGTATAAAGCAGTGGTTATATATCCTTGATACCAACTAAAATTAAATTATCTTGATTGCGGTGTAAACTCTTGAGTACCAAATTTAATCCACATCCCTTCAGAACTTGGAGCTATAACTTCGGCAGGCAGATTGACATATATCCATACTGCGATCTTAATTATGAATAAGGCAAAACATGTAGAAATGGAGTTGACCGCGTCCTTACCTATCTCTGGGGCACTTTTGGATGCAGTTCCCGTCGTTGAGTACTCCTCGACACACGTAGCATTGGTCTGCCCGGGGTCCAGAACAGCCTCCCAGACACAATTCATGGCACTCGCTTTGCAGACGCCTTCGGTGGTGACAGTTGTGGGTGTGGCTCCCCCAACACATGGTCTTGTTACACCCCTCTGCCACATCACACATACCCTGGCCCGGGCACGAAGCCGAGTCCTTGTTCAACGCTATGACGTGCTCGCCGCCGTTCGTAACTGCGTCCCAGTTTACCGTGTTGTAATAGCACAGCGCGTAGTTCTTTTCAATTCTCACCGAACCTCGCAAAATGGCAGCCAATCCCCACAGACCGAGTTCTTGCAGTTCTACCATCTCATAAACCACCAAAGCGTAATCCTGAAATAGTGTATTCCCACGTATTACTGCCAAGTTTGGAAAGAGAAATCCAAGATTTTTTAGTCCTCTGACTCGATAAAGCATTAAGTAGCACGTAATTTCACGCAATTCTGGGAACGTCACATTCTCGAAGTCTGACTCATTAGCACGATCAATTAAAACTATCCGGACGAATCCTTCGACTACAGTACATCCCCGAAGTTGTTCAAATTCTCGAACCGAGTTTCGGATATCGACACTCACACATATCCGTTCTGATGTCATTTGCGTTGTAGCATTGCCGCCAGTTGCGGGGTTTGACAGCGATATCGTGACAGTCCCGTCTACCCGGGACAACGGGAGACCCAACAAAAGCAGCACCAATATAAATACAAGGCACATATCTAAACCGCCAGTGTGCCACATCCCCCCTTTTATAACAAACTGAAATTAATATCGGTAAATAATAACACGACTTTTCTCCTTTGATGAAAAATATGAATTTCCATCATGGAAAACTTAAACACCACGGTTCCACTTTTTTCTTCTTGATGGGAAACTGAAATGCATGCTCAAAGAATACGCCTTTTCTCAGGTGACCGTATGACGACAGGAAAGAGAACCACCAAGCCCGCTTTCCATCTAAGGTCAGCTCTTGAAGAGTTCACTCACGTAAAAAAAGAAAATGAAATGTATAATAATTGCTACCTCTGTACGTTAAAACACGTGCACGTCACTTGATAATCGCACTTGTTTACTTCTTCACTAAACGGTCCCACGAGCGCTGTGACTCCTCTCCCCACGAACTTGATGCCAAGTATGTGAGACGCTGTCGTGTACGTCTGCCTTTGGTAACAGTCCATGGCATGATGATGGTGCCAGCAGCTGAATCAGTTTAGTGCGTAGCAGTTGACGATCTTTTACTTGATCAACACGTATGCATATTAGATTTGAACCCGGGGCTCTCTTCTTCATCTCTGTCTCGCTCATCGGTGGCGACGACCCCGCTAGAACCCCACGCATACTCCCGTCCTTTTACTTATATTTTTGTTGTACTCTGCTTCTTATTATACAGTCTTGGTTTTATTCTCCTCCAAATTCAGAAAATATTGCCGGCCTTCGGCTCACTGTTCCTCTGTCTCCTTTTTCATTGGGGATGTCCTTTTTTATTTTTCTTGTTTATGTTTTCTTGACTGTGTCGCTGCGTACCTGGGAATCAAGCCAAATAATGTTATTTGTGTACAGTTTATTTAATGACGCCTTTTTTTAGTAGCTCAGACTATATAGCGTCGAATAAGGCGACAGTGAATAATGAACTGGAAATGATATGGAAGGAAGCGGTCGTGGCCTAGTTTAATGTACTATACAGCATTTGCCTGGATGGACTGGGGAAAAACCACGAAAAACCCAATCAGGATAGCCTGTTTCCGGGCCGATATTTGAACCTGGGACCTCCCATATACGAAGGAGTGTTAACCACACGACCACGACGTTCGGTAATAATGTGTTAGAAGTATCGTGAGATTTGAAGTTGGTTTCATATTTTCACAGAAAAGTCTCCCACGTACAGAAACACCTTGGAGCTAGAGTAACACGCACCAATCAATACGAAGGAGTCGCCGAGGGCATGTAAATACGAGAGTTACAATTTAGACCAATTCGCTGCTATGGAATAGCAAAAATGGAGTTCAGCATCTTACCGAAAGTCATGAACCCAGTTAATTCGAAACCTTATGGAACTGACCTAGTTGTGTAACTGCTTTAGCAATGCAGTCTTGTCTGTCTTCATGTCTGAAAACGTAAAGATGATGTAAGTTTGTCTGGTTTGTATGGGTGTGCAACTACGCCTCTAACACAAAGAGAAGAACGCAGATTGAGGACTTCATCGTGAAGACGATATCAATGCCATACATAATTCATTGTTCACTAATCGCACAGTCATTCGACGGAAAATGCTATTAGCAATTAAATTTTACAGCAGTATTGTTTCTAAGCATTTATACTACTGGTGTAAAAGAGACTCCCGACTTTGAAAATGCAGATAAACAAGAAATTAACACAAAAAATACCTTACTTCCCTCCAACGCGTTTATTTAAGAGCCTCAACATTTAATGATATATAATAATTTAGATGGCTGTCTTTTTTTTGGGATGTAGAGCCATGTGGTTTGGCAGGAGTTTACCAATGTTTCATAGGTCCTTGCTGCCTCAGTAAGGAGCTCTTAAACGTTGGTAATTTTCTACCAGACTACATGGCCCCACAACCCAGAAGACAGCCATCTTCGTACTCAGCGCCGTTAGAAGTCTAATCCTACACAATAATTTAATTAAAATATTTCTGCTAACTACAGGGGACATTAGGATTCTTTAACTTAATTAAAAATATTTCTGCTATTTGCAGAGGACACTGGAATTCTTTCCAATAAAACGGCATCCCTCCACGTGCTACCAGTTCTTAAATTATATGTCAATCGACGGTAAATGTTCCAAGTAGTCGGTTTTTTTGCTTTTGTGTAGGATATTTCTTGAAACCTTCATATTTAGATGCTTTCGTGGAACCCGAAACTCGTATTCACAAGAATCCGTCACTGAACCCTGTGGTATAGTCGCCACTCAAAAATTTGTAAGAGCACTTTCAGTGTGTTCCTCTCATCTATGTTTAGGTCTCCCAAGTGGTATTTTCCCTCGACTAAGGTTGTTGTGTGTAGGCCTCCTTTCTCCAGCTTTTCATGTGTCTCACCCCGCTCACCCTCCTTGATTGAATCGGTCTGATTATATAAATTATTAAATTTCTCATCATCTTGTTCTCGAATACCGTGGATTCTTCCCTTAGGATCAGAGACCAGGGTTCACGTCTTCACACAGATATAATTCTGAAATCAGTTAATTCGTCATTTAAAAAGTTCAATGAACAAGCAAAATAGATTTATAAGATTTTGTATCGGTAATTAGACGCCGCATCCACAGTTTTTAAAGTTGCATCGACCTTGAGAGGCAAAAATTCCTTCATCTTCCATCTGTCTCGCCGTAAAATAGCAGCCGGAATTGAACTGCACAAAAAGAACACATCGTATTGGATGGCTAAGAGAAACTTCCTCACTGAATGGGCTTAAGCTTTTTACACTCCAAAACAAAACGAGGAGCTCAACTTCACGAGTTATGAAACGTAGTTCAGCACAAAAACAGCGTCTGAAAGAATAAGTGTCTCGGTATTTCTTCGAGGCCACTGTTGTGTCGGGAGTCTGTTGAACAAAACCATGAAATGTGTGCAGTCATTTACAGTCGATTGTAGGTGTTTCTGAAAAAGGAAAGTTACCGCTACGAAAACTGTACTGAAAAGAATTTCTTGAAAAATAAATCATGACCTCTTTTCGGTTCACTGAAACTGCGCGCTTCTATGCAGTCTGTAACTTTTTCTGCGGAGCCATATAAATACTGCGTTTAAATTAAATTAAATTCCTGTAGAATCCTCATCTTCAGGGACGAAGTAGCGATGTTGCGAAGTGGAGGTATTTGTATTTGATTGGAGGGAAGGAAGAATGAGGGACTCCCAGCATCAATTCATCCTTGAAGATGTTAAGTGTAACTGTACACATGTTCATGAATTTTTTTATTATTTTGGAGCATGCTGCAACAATGATATAATTACTTCGGACTTTGGGGGGGGGGGGTCTTTGGCTCTGGTTCACAAGGCAATATAAATTGTTCAAGATTTGGCTCAGTGTCCAGAGCCGTTTCAGGATGTCCTCACATGTTAAAGGGAATTTGCCGAGGACAAATGTGTATGTTCAATATTATAAATGAAAGTTGAAAAGGTATTTCGTGCGTACGGACAGACGGACGGATCTACTTTAATAGACGCTACGCTCACGGTTGCGAACGTGCCTGACAAAGAGTTGGAAGGCGACCTCCAATATGGAGTATACACGTGTTCCATTTGCGTTATTTGTGATTTTACATACATCATTGGCCTTGATGTTCATCCTGTAGCGGACAATTAAAATTTATTTCTTCACATGTCTTCAAATGCATTCTTTGCTATTTTACATACTTCATTGGCCTTGATACCCATTCATTTCTTAAGCAACTCTTGTAGAGGGACAATTAGAATTTATTTGTTCATACCATTAAATGTGTAATGTCACTGTTCTTGATCTTATACATGATATATTGAATTCACGATTTAACACTTGAAGTCCTGGTGAGAAAATAATAACAAAACACAAAGATAATTTTCTACACCTACGTGATGGCCGTAGTAGATGAGACGATGCGAAAAAAATAATCATCAGCTTTAATGGACTCGGAATAATAACAAACAGCTGTCCTGACGCTCTGGAGCAAACATTGAAAGACCACAGAATCACCCAGGTTTCGTAAGAAAGCCAACAGCTAGTTTTCATTACTGCTCAAGTATATACTTCTGAAACTTCCTATAACATAAGTTATCCTCGGCGCTTGAATGTGAGAATACGCGTCTCGGGGATCGTGTGTGTGTTTCAGCAAACATGCAAGCACAAACACGAACGCACGAACAACATTTAAGATATAAAACTACATTTTGACAAAATGAAACAAAAGTACTGTTCCATTACTCTTGCTGTAAATGGATCTGGATGACCCAAAAATGTTATCTTCTTTATTCGTTTAATATTCATGTATTAGGTAGTTCTAATGCTTGACCCAGACAGCAGGTGTGGCGGTTAGTTAAGAATGTGAAAGTTACGAACTTCACTTCATATAGATATTTGAAAAGAATCCTTCAGAACACTCGTAATGAACCCCTAAGAGCGAGATTGCCCGCCTATGTGTGTTCCCTTTTGTAATAACCTAAACCAACCAGTAAACAAATAAAACCAAATGTTAAGAAATTCTTATGCATGTGTATAAATTAAACAATCTCTGCAAATGACACAGCACCCTTAAAGAAACCAGTTTTCAGTACTGGGGTTCGATACCCTCTAGGGCACCGTTTCTCAACCTATGGTACGCGTACCACTGGTGGTACGCAATCTAAGTAAGAAAATCAAAATATAATATTAACATAAATAATTTTTCCCTGAACGCATTTGTTTAGTAGTACTTTAATGTGTTAAATTAGAGTTAGTGGTACGCCAGCGAAAAAGGTTGAGAACCCCTACTGTAGGGGCAATAATCTTCTCTTTGCCACCACTTTCATGTTAGCTCTAGGGCCCATACAGCCTCCTATACAATGGTTGCTTGGTACACTTTCCCCGAGGGTAAAGAGGTTGGAGCGTGAAACTGCCACTAACCTCCATCTAGTGCAGAGGCAAAGAATCGAGTGGCTGAGGATCATGTCCAATAGCGGTATTTGTTATTAGATGCGTTGAACCTTCAGGTTCAGCTACCACAGTATTATTTAGGTGAGTGTAGGGCCTATCTTATTTTGAGTAGTCAGTGAAAGATATTACCTAACTTAGCTATAAATCTGAAACTTGAAATTGTCACTTATTACAGATACTGTCCGTTCAGAGTGTAAATAAATCAACCCTGATCCAGAGTGCTCATAGAGTTCAAATTCAGAAAATAAACATGTTTAAAAATAAGGACGGTTCTTACACACCGGAAGTGTACTGAACTTCTTGAGTGGGACGATGCAGAGTGAGCACAATGTTCCATTGTATAAAGGTGGGCAAAATACCGGAGGAGAGTGGTCTCTGCCCCACACCCCCCCT